GAGGGAGAAAAAAAATTTTTTTATATATATATATATATAGTTATTTGGTCTAAACAGCTTTTGCACAATTGGGAGGCAATGCAACGAAAGACATAGTTACTGGAGCACTGGCCCTCTAAATCATCAATGCACACGCCAACTTCCAAGTCTTGAGCACACATCGCTGTGACAGAAGTAACAAGGTCAGCAATAAGCCACCTAAAGATCCATTAGTCCCTTCTTATAATTCTCTATCATAAAGGCCCAAAGGGAAACTGCAGACGAATCAGTTCTCCAAAAGCAGGAGTACCACCAGCAAGAGGAAAGGAGAAATGGCATCTCCAGCCTCCCGCGGTTGGTCTGCACCTGCCTGCCTCTGCTCCTCTCGCCCAAGCCACGGAGCAACCCTCCTGAAACAGGCCCGTCAGAGGCTTCTCCAAAGGCACGCCTGTATAGAAAAGACACTTCAGCAAAATATCAAAATCCTTCCTGCTCAGTACAACCTACTCTAGAAAGAGAGACTAACATATAAGGTAATGTACTCACCCAGTGTAAACTGTGGCAAAAATTGGTCCGCAATGAGAGCATGGAGATTGAGTTGACTAAGGCCATTGCAAGAGCCTGGTTTCTTGAACCCTGCAGGACAGCCAACCTTTTACAGTGACCTAATCCCCACTGCATGTTCCTACTTAACACTCCTCACTGATACAGCTTCGCCAGTGATGATACAACAGGGGCTGTCTGGGTTGACCACAAGTTGGCTTTTTAAACTGATGTCCTGTCAAGCCCAGGTGTGCTTAGCTTGGTGTCAGGAGGCCAGGTCCTACCCCCTCCTGCTGGTAACAAGGAGGGTGACCCTAGCTGGGTACAAACCAGCCAGGGAAATAAGTCCCTGGGGACTTCCAATAGAGAAAAAGTTGCAGCTATTCACCAAACAGATGAGCAAAGCACCCTTTGTCTGTCTGTCTATGCCTACGGGATCTGTCCTTCAGCTAGTACAAATCTGCCCAGCGCTACTGCCTTTGTAGTCCTTGCCAGCATACACCAGCTGATGACTTAATGCAAGCATCAATAATCTTTAGCACAAGAAAGGTCCCGAAAAATACACAGTGCTGTAGAAAACCCCACACAACCAGTACATCAACACTGATAACATTTCACACACAGTGGATGGCAAGGAGAGGCTGTTTACAAACTCACAGCAAGAGCGGTGGGGAAGAGAGCAGCCCAAGAGTGTGCAAAGCCCTTACTGCTGAATTCCTCCTGCAGTCGACAACAGGCACTGAGCAGCATCTGCTTCAAAATCTGCGGAGGACGCCAAATTAGAAATCAAACTGTAAAAACACCCTGCATCGGTGCTTGCATTTCTGTGCTGGTGCAATGGTGCTGACTGGTCCTCTCTGGCTCTAAATATGATGCTGTCAGTACTGAGAATATTTCTTAATCAGCGCTGAAGAGTGGCTGCCAGGAAAGTAGAAGTGGCTGTCTATCAGTCTTGCTTCTGCAGAAAGAACGATTGTTTGGGGGGGGGGGGGGGGGGGGCTGTTTGACCTTTCCATTTATCAAATGTGTATCTCTTCGCCAAGACCATGTCATTCTTTGCAAGCATTTTGTTGTTCAAAACAAATCTTATACTGTGATTTTTTTTTTCCTCCCTTAATATGTTGCCATTCAGCAGCCTCATACTAACAAGTAAGGAACCAGCATGTAAGATCCATCTCAAAATAATAAGCAAGTGCACGCACCCTACTTCTAAGGAACAACCAACTCTGCAGAAACGGACAACGTCTTGGGTGAACTGAGCAAGCAGGTGTGGGGTGGTCAGTTTGCAGAAGCAACCCTACAATAATAAAGAAAGTGTTCTCCAGCTTGTGCACATAAACAATCCTCCAACAGTAAACAAGCGCATGCAGGAAGATATTACTGAGAAATACCACAATAACAAATCAACCTGTGATGCCTACTCCTCAGAAACAGCCTAGGAAAAACTATAACAGTCGTGCAGAGAAATGGGTCTTGAGATACCTAACGATGAGAAACATTTTTAAATCATGAAGGACATACCTAAAATGCTTTAAAGCACCTTGAGAGCACTGGGGCAATTATGAGAAACGGGGATGGCTAACAAACAGGCAGCTTATGTATTCTGTATATTGCTGTGCACTGCACTCAAACATATCTTTCATGGCATTCTTGATGAGAAGCCAACACAAATACCACTCTGATTAATCAGGAAACTACCCAGCAACAACACGAAAAGTTTGCACAAGACCAGCAAGCACACAACCCTCTCCGAAAGATACCTGGGTGAGGAAAGGTGCTCCTTTCATCAATACAAAAAACCCCTAAGGCTCAATGCTTGTGCAGATAATGAAGCCAAGCATGTTTACACACCAGTGATCATTACATGCAGTGATTAGAGGAGATCTTAGGTTAATTTTAATCTCCACTAGCTAACAAAGTGATGACCTGCTGCCCCACCTAACCTCTCTGGAGTGACAAGTCAGGTGCTCTCACAAGCCGACGAGGCTGTCTTGTTCCTGGGGAAAACAAAGACTTTCTCAACATATATGATTAAAAAGGTCAATGAACCCCATGCACTCAAACTGGTGTAATAGGACCAGCTGAGCTAAAGCAAAAATTCCTTTTTCTGGAAGTAAATAGCACACTGTTATCTCCCCAGGGGCCAGGCAATAAGAGGAGGCATGTTCCCATTCACTGCCACTGTGTGCTATGCTAGTGCTCTGCCTATAAATACAACAGCTTTTTTTTTCCCTTTTTTTTTTTCTTTTTTTTTTAACAAGGCTGTGACAACTTCATCTCATCTGGGTACAACAAACACGCCTGAGTTGCGGCTACGCAGCAGGGCTTTCTGTTGTGTGTGTGCGTGGTGGTGGGTTTTCCACCACAGGACCATATGTTACCTACTGCGTGGCGTGGCTGCCTCTCTACCAGTGCACGAGGAGAAAATCAGGGCAGCTCTCCGTAGCGGCTGCACGGGGACAGAGTGCTTGGGGACATGCATGTAAAGCAGCACCTGAACTGGAGACAGCGGGCTTCGGACTGCACCACAGCACAGGGAGCTCAAACGAGAAAGAAATTACGAAGGCACTGGTAGGGGTCCAGAGGAAAGTTCCTTTTAGAGTGTGAAATAATAAACGAGACCATGACAAAAAGGCAATACTGGGCTCAGGATTTTGTCTTGGTACTATGCCAGCTGACCACGCTTTGTGCATTTAAAACTGACCTGGTCATTAATTTGTTACAGACTTGTGCAATGTGAACAAGGCCAAGTCTCTTGGATAAAGATGCTTTCTCTTGCAAGCCAACTGGAAATGCTGAGCGTTTACTATTCACAGAGAAATCTGCTTGTCATATCTGTGACACGGTATTCCTCTCTGCACTGCCCACTCAAGACACCTCCCAGATAATTAGACTGTAAGAACAACTTTGCTGCATCGAACCAAAAGTCCACCTAATCCACTGCTCTCTCTCTAGCAAGGTGGATGCTGAAGGAACATACAAAGCAGCTCTTATACATGACGATCCTTTCCCTGCTGTATCCTTTAAAAAAACAACAATAAGCACTGTGGGCTTTCCTGACTCAGGTTGCATCTGGACTGTTGCATCTGCATCGTGTGCAGCTCTGTTTTCCTGGCATTTATCTAATGTCTTTTTGAACTCATTTGGATCTAATTCTCTCAGGGAGACAAAAGGTAAAGTTATGGTAACTGGAGCTATTTATGTTACAAAGGAGACCTGTAAGAAGGGGTTAAAGCTAATGAATGGCTTTGGGAATGGACAGGACCTTTCTCAGAACAGAACAATAGGGTGCTTTTATGAAACTGGGAGACAGAAAACACAAAACTATTAAAAAACAAAGAATGCTCTTTTGTATTATCGGCATTAGCCTTCAGAACTCATTGCCGCAAGACAGTACCCTGTGGTCGCTGCAGAGTCTGTCCAGTCTTTTAGGTGATGCTAGTCAAGGTGATCCCTAGACAGCGTATTGAATCAAACAGGCGACAACTTCAGCCCGTGTTTGGAACTGAATTTCAACTCATCACTACTAATCAGGCTCAGAAAGAAGGAAACTACTGTCAGGGGCCTTGCTTGGTGAAGCAGCAAGTTAACAGGCAGGGGTAACATCACACACGAACGCTGACCATCTTAGTTATGCTCATGAATGTCGCTCCTTGCTGGACTTCACCTTCCAGGACAGGAAAGAGACTATGCTTTCCTTACCTGGGTTGCTGCTGGCTGACCGATGACCACCCATCCTGGACACTGCTGGTCACTGTGATGTGAGACCGAGACGTTGGAAGCCCACTGATCGAGGAAGCCTTTGGGAGTGTAAACACCACAGTCTTTGATGCTGGTCATTTGCTCAAATTCCTCGCAGACTCCATCCCCATCGTGGAAATAGCACCTGCTGGGTTCATCTGCCAGGAGAAAGCAGAGAAGAGAAATCACAAAGGACTGGCTACAGATGTCTGCCATCTAGGTGCGAGGACCTGATAACATCAGTGGTCGTGTATCTGCTGGACCAGGTCACCGGGAAGTGAAAGCATTGGTCTCTTCTAGGTAATAGCAAGGTGATTTTAAATAAAGCCAAGCAACAACAGTCAATTTTTGTATTGGGAAATTCCCCCAAGATATTTTCTAATGTAAGAGATTTTCTGCTTATTTTCATCTATCTCCATTTAAAAGGATGGAGACAGAAGAAAGCAGAGATAGAAAATACAGAGAGACAATGTGGGTGTTGGCATAATTCCATCAACTTGGATGGAAAAACACCAACAGAGGGTCTGGTCTACAATGTTTCCTTTTTGCTTTTAAAAGATATCTACAAAACAACAACAGCAGCAGCAACTGTGAATTTAGGCCCAAAACTGCCAAGTTCACAGTTGTAGTGACCAAAGGGGCGAAGAGATCTGTTTATCCAAAGAGGTACAGTATACATAGCGTGAGGGTAAGCTTGCCACATACACACACGGCTTCAACCAACATGACTCAGATTTGACCTGAAAGGATCAAAAGCAGCAGGAGACTTTATTATCCTTGTCCATTTATTCTGTGGCTTCTCTAATGAGGCTGCCAACAAAGATGCCAAATTTTTGAGGTTGTTTCTGTAACACTGGCCCATTAAAAACTGAACTGAGATCCATCTACTCTTTTCAAACAGACTGCATAGCAATAATGACTTTCAGTCATTAGAGTACTCTGTGAAATGGAAACCTTTGACCTGTTGGTATCCTATTTTGTATTGTATTATCATTGCCCGTCCCCAGAGGTATCCAGTTCTGACAGCCTGTTGTATTTTTGTCTAGCAAATAACCCTGCTGAAAAAAGGGTAGGAAATTAGCCAGAGCTGCTAGCTGGACTGATGGGAACGATCCCTAAGGAGAGCCCGGTCGGTAGCACTGGACTATCTTGAGGTAGGTGTCAGAAAATCCAACGGCTGCTCAATTTTGAGCTACTTCCAAACTACTAAATCCCCTGTTTATTTTTCCTCCTAGTTTACACAGTGAAATACCATCATGAGCCAGAAAAAAATCAGTTTATTGCAATTCAATTATTTAATGACTTTCACTCCTTTTCCCCTCCCTTCCTACCAATCCTCCGTGCAAAATTCCAGGTCCTTAAGAGAGTGTGAGTTTGAAAGAATGGAGAAGTCTATCAGGGAAGAATGTCATTATGGTTTCATTTCATCACGACCTCTGTGGACAACTTGTGTACGTGGATAAGCGTGAGGAACTGTGTATTTGCTGGGCCAGTACTCCGAGCTGGCGAAAAGGAGCCAGCATGAATCTGGAAGCCATTCAGCTGTATGAGTGCAGCCCCGCGTCTGAGTGAATATTCCTGGGGTGGCCAAACTTCTTGACCCTACATGTCACATCTTAAAATCTTCATATGGCTGGGAGCCACCAAACATATACCACACACCTCGAAGGGCTCGGAGGCGGAGTGCTTGGGAGAGTGCTTCACATACAAAGATGGCAATGGCTCCGGGGGGTGTCCCATTACTCCACGGTGGGAGGGGGCTCTGGTGGATGTGCAGATGGGCCCTACGGCAACCCAGCAGTGCCGGCCTTGCTGCCTTGCCTCCTCCCACGGCCGGATTGCCCAACAGCCCTGATGCCAGCAGGGCCCTGCTACTCCTCATCTGATACTGACCCAGCTGGGAATGTGTGCTTGAACTGCTCATGAACCCTACGTGCCCTGCGAGCCCCAGTTTGGACATCCCTGTAACAAACCTCGTTTCTCTGCAGGGCTTATTAATGTCGGCACAGTGCTATGCCAGTGTGGCTCATTCATCCCTGGGAGAGACACGCTCTGTGTCTGGGCAGCTCAAGGAAGGGGCAGAGCGAGCACGTAACTGTGATGGCCATGGACACAAACTCTTGGTTTCCTCACCTTACCCTTCTGCATCTCCTGTTCTGCTCCTCTCTCTGCAGAGACGTATCAAAGCGCGGGCCAGGTCTCTGCTGTACCCAAGACCAGTAGGATAAAGCTAAGTGGCTCACCCGCCTCAGAGCACTATGTCCCAGTTTGAGTGAGAGTCTCAGCAGAAATCTCTGAGAAATATTTAGCCCTGGAAAGACTGTGGTCAGCAATCAAAAATCCTCAAAAACAAATCCCAAACATATGAAAGTATGTATTTTTTGAAAAAGAGTTTCCTTGTCATTTTATGAAAAGGGGCTTATTTCTGTAGAAAAGAAAAAAAAAAGAAAGGAAAATATCTACCATCTTAAAAAGACCCAACCTTCAGCCCATAAACATATGCACAGTCAGATACACACTGCCAGTGAAACACCAGCACCCAAGTGCATCCCGCTACACACCCACACTGACAGGAACACTGACACACAAACACATGTACGCTCTCTTTACACATCCCCAATGCAGCCACCCCACCGATGCAAACACATGCCCAGAAACTCACAGCCTAATTTTAGGCACATGTGTTTAGACAGTGTTCCCCTGGCCTTCCTGAAGCACTGACTTATTTTCACGACAGGCACTGAAGTAAGCACAACATTTATACAGCAACATACTCCTGCACTGGCTCCAAATGTTCCCTCCTAATGCGATGATAAACATAATGGGCTTCTGATAAGATCATGTGTTTGGGATAAAAGAATACTCAAGACCTACTCCAATCCGATGACTTAATTCATACTCACATGGATGGGAAGGCAGCCTTTGAATAGCTGTGATCCAGGCCAGCGTGTGATCCTAACAGAGGCTAATTTGTTCCTGATTATGCTTAAGACCCCAATAAATCTGTCTGCTCAGAGTCTGCAAAACCCGAGGGAGGAACCAAATGGAGAGACTGAGATGTCTGAATTAAACGGATCCTGCCTAAATGATTAACAAAGTCTTACTGAACTGCACCATCATGAGCCCTTCTGCTCTGCTAGTCCTGGAGAGTCGCTGCGCCCTGCCCTCCACGGCAGTGCGGGTTCGCTGGCCGGGTGACATCGCACACAAAAGCAGGGGGATTAGGTACCCGCTTGCTTTTGTGTGCTTTGAAAAATGATGGGGGAAAGTGGCTTTACAACCCTAGTTTTCTTTTAAGTAAGCTCTGTAAGTCCTACTATTGACATGCCATCCTGAAGCGTGCAACACCATGCTTTGAAGGGAGCATTGGTGAGAAGAGGAGAAGACTTTTCCCGCCCGTGAGCTTCCTACTTCTGAGCGATGGCAAAGAGGGGGACTTCTTTAAATCCTTCCAGACACGGGTGAGGAGACTGATGAGGGCATCAACCTGTGACAGCCAAATGTGCTGCATCACTGGGTGGACTGCCAAAAAGAAGGAGAGGCTCTTCCTTCCACAGGTACTGAGCACCAGCTCTGACTCCCCATTCTTACTGCGGTCTTGGATGTAGGTTACATGTTGGGCTTTACATTTTCATGAGCAAAGTGAAGAACGACCAGATTGTTTCTTCCTACGATTGCCCTCACAAAATGAAAACTAACAGGCTTCTTCCCTTTCCACAGTGGTGTGAAGACAGCTCAGTTAAATCCGTAGAGTCCTACAGGCTCAAAGCCGGGGAGGGCAGTGTCAGGAGCGGTATATTTCTAGGAAGCAGTAGCTAACATCTTTATTTCCATAATGGTGCAAAATGCCTTTTCTATTCTCTTCTCAACTACTGTGACATGAAATGCATCCAGGGCCTTGGTAATATGAGCTAATTTTTGTCTCCACAGACGTCTACAGGCTTGCAAGACCTGATGAAGGTCATAGTGATGTATTCGTCAGGTATGGCCTGCGTCATGGACCATATTCATCAACACCATGGACTTGTCACTTCAAAGTTGAATCTGATTTTAAGGAGATGTGGAGGAAGGGAACATGAAGGAAATGTGATTTGTCCTCAAGGAAAAACGACTTCAAAAAATTACAAAGCAGTTGCCTGGAAATCCAGCTTAAATCGAGAGCAGTAAAATGTCTGCAGGTGTAGTACCTGGCAGCAGGAGACAGCATCTCTAGGGGATTGGCAACAGATGCTGAAGGATCCTGAGCTGAACTCGGGGAACATGTATTCATTCAGGCAGCCTGAGCACCTTTTCCCTGACAAAATTCTTACTGAAGGCACAAAAATGTTGAGGCCAAATCAAAGTCCCTCTCTTGCCCTTGCTTTGGGAAAAGGTAGTCTCCGGTTGAGCAAAGATTTCTGTGACATCTGGGAATCCCTGAATGCTCCGTGGCAGTCGTCAACCTGGAGAAGGGGGATTTGTTGAGGAAACAGATTGGTGAGACCTGGCCTGCTTAGTATTGCAGTTGGGCTTCAAGATGGAGAATGATCTTGGGGCTCTTGCGTGTTGCATCAGAAAATCGTGCAAACTTCATCTCCCCTTGCTTCTTAAGCTGCCCGAGCACAGTGCAAAAGGCAGCCTTTTGTATTGAAATAGAAACCCCTTCTCTGGGGTTCAGAAATGAAAGGATGCACAAGGTAAGGCAGAGGATTTAGGGAGTACCTGGGAAGCACCTGCCAGGTCAGGTCTGGATGAGCGGGTACCTCCCCATCACAGTTACCTATTTGAAGAGAGGCTAGAAAATCACCAGCAAAACGAGTGAAGTCTGGTGCAGATCAGGAAGCAGACATGCAGGATACACTTATCTGTGATAGGTAGCCTTCCACCTCATTTAAAAGAAAAAAAAAAGAGATAAAGAGATCCAATTCATAGCACAGGGCACATCCTCTGATGAGGCTTTTAATGTCCGAGCCCCATAGTCAAAGTGCTGGGGACAGACACTGGGGGGACCTTCCTGTTTTCAGCTAGAACGCAGTGATTGGCATCAGCATAGTCTTCTTTTGTGCAATAACTACTATTTTTTTAAAAGGCTAGACAAAAAAAAAGGAATATTTTTAAGCTCAGCTGTTTACTTAGGGATGTTTCCAACTATAACAAGCCTTATGCCACAGAACTACTT